CTATGCAACTGTTCGATTTGAAATGAAGTACAGACACACACACACACATACAATAAAACAAAAAAAAAAAAAAAAATCGTACACAAAAGTCACATGACAAGTAAATCTCATGTGACCTCTTTGAAAAATTTTACTCAAGAATGGCAAAAACAAATTTTATGTACACAACTGACCGAAAAATAAAGCAAAGTTGCAAAAATTGCTCATTGAAGCAGGCTTTATTTGCCACTCGACGCTAAAGCAGCCATCAGGTTCCAACTGTGAAAGCAAGTTAATCTGCAGATGACAACAAAACGTGGATGGCATGATGGGTAATTTTCTCCTCCTTTCACAAGAAAATTGCAACAAATTTTCACAAGGCTGTTTTATAAAGGGAAACATTTATTTCTGACTTGGTCCATGATTGCTGAAGATTATTTTGCCTCCAGCAAATATTAAAAGGAACAGTTACAGAAAATCTTTCTTACTCCACCTCATAGGTTAAGAAAACTACTGAGACATTAAAATGCACTACACAAAGGGATGAGACAAAAAATCTATATTTAGACATAACAAAAATGAATTGAAGGAATAGTTCTTTTAAAGGGAATCAGTTAAACTTTTATAACAAGTAATATGTATTAAATTTAAAGCTTCATGAACTTCAGTTACAGCATAAATTTTAGCTTACAGTAAAAACGTGAAAGAAAAAAACGTTATGTAATTATGCAACAGTTTAACTAATGAACCCTTACCATAAGAGATAGGCTCACAGTGAAATTGTTTAAATAGGATTGCAATCAAGTCCCTCCATCCCAAGATCAGTGAAAAAACTGTTTATGATTTTTAAACCATAATGGCAACATAGCTAAGAACTTCCCATGTATATTTTCACGTGAAAGACACATCATTTGGACGTAAACAGTGATTTTTCATCCCATATCTTTTTCAGATGCTTAAAAATTGAATCATCTAATGTTTTCCTGTGGCCATAATTTTTACCTTTGATAAATTGTTGGAATAATTTTAATTTGGATCTTGAAATAAATTGGTTTTGTGTGGAAAATGACAGATATAAATTAACAAAACCGTCCATTACCATTTTCCCGAAATAATTTTAATAGATATATTAATACTGGACACAAAAAATCAAATAATTTCATAGGACTCAATGAAATTGATATAAATCAATCTTGTATCATTCACACATGGTATCCCTCTAAATGACTGCTTGATCTGACCAATCCCAAGCCATCATTTATCACGAATAAATCCATTTTTCAAGTACCCAATTTAGATTCACAATCACAAAACCCCAACAAAATGAATTCTTTGCATGCTGAGACAGCAACTTAATGATTAATCCTTTGACTCCAAACAATGCTAAAATGAAACCATAGCATGAAATCCTAATCAGAAAAACCCAATAGTAATACTAAATGATCCTTTTAACTTCAACAAAACCAAAAACATGACATCTTAATTAGTGACTTGTGCCACCCTTAAAGTCTCGTACATGTTTAAAAGCTTTAAGGTTCTCCCCTATAGGGAATATCTCAACTCAAGTTAGAGATGTGTGGGTAAAGGCACGAGGTGGTAGTATGTGATTACCTGCCTAATTCAAGATTTCTCAGATCCCAGAGGTACTGATTAAGGGTAAAAAGGGTGTAATTGTTTTCCAAATGGTGGCTACGTGCTACAATTGTGACACAGAGATGAAGTACCGGGTTGACCTCTAGAGTAGGTTTATCATTCCTCCCTACTGGTCAGGGAGTAGACTTAATTTGTGGTGCAGAGATGTTGTCTCAATGTGCTAGTCAAGATCTGTCTGTTTTTTTTTTTTTTTTTTTTTTTTTTTTTTTTTTTTTTTTTTTTTTTTTTTTTTTTTTTTTTTTTTTTTTTTTTTTTTTTTGTCAGCTATTTTGTATTGTCAAGCGAATTCTTCTTTTTACATCATTTTTTTGCAGTTGCATTTTCCCCATCATTCCAACTACCTCCATCTTTTCACCTTTCTCCATTTCTCTCGTCTATCCACTTATCCACCCAACCATTTTCCCACCTTCCCACTTATCCACTCCCTCACCTAACACTCCTCACATCAGACTTTAAAATGACAGAGCTAATATCAACTGGAAACAGTGTGTTACAGTCATGTAACATTTATAATTTTACAAATAAGGGACAGAACAACATTTATGCTTAAAAAAAAAAAAAAAAAAAAAAAAAAAAAAANCCACTCCCTCACCTAACACTCCTAACATCAGACTTTAAAATGACAGAGCTAATATCAACTGGAAACAGTGTGTTACAGTCATGTAACATTTATAATTTTACAAATAAGGGACAGAACAACATTTATGCTTAAAAAAAAAAAAAAAAAAAAAAAAAAAAAAAGCCCCACACTTTAAAGTAGCCCAAGGAAAGCAATCATTCAATGACAGAAGTTTTCCCCCAAGGGTCAATAGTTGTATTTCATGGTGATGGACAGGTGCATAACATTTTGTAGTTATCCATCATACTGTTTTCACTTAAAAAGGAAAGATAAAAAAGGAGAGAGAGAATGGAAAAGTCTACAGCGCGAAGTTTTTTCTTTATTTTTATGCATGTGCTAAAATCTTTTCACATAACCATAACATAACTGTAACACTGAAGCACTGTAATATCAAATATCAAAGGACATTCTGGAGTCCAAAACATTTATACCATAAATTTAAATATCCAAAATATTCACATAAAAAGGGAAAAAACTGAATCAAATATATGAACACACAGCCATCTCAAACCTCAAATTGGTACAGTTTATAACCCTATAAATTTACTGATTACTCAACTGTGTCGCTGCTTCTCAAAGTTCACAATTAAACAGTTCATAAACTACCCAAAATGACAAAGTAATGATTGATACAGGTATAAAATTTCTCAGTGGTGTAAATTTTCTACTATACACACAATGCATTTCTGTGTTTTGAGCCTGTATCTTGTTCAACTTCCCCTTCTTCAGTTTAACACCAAGCTATGACATAGTTTATACATGATTGGGGCCTTGGTGGATAATGATGCAGGCCAGGAACCTTTAGAGCAATAGGGATACATCATACAAATCCTCACTCAGGGCCCTGCTTACGACAGTAAGGTCCTAGCATGTATACTGTATGATACAAAGGTTTTCTTTTTGCATGTGTGAACTCATTCTGCTAGTGATACATTTATATTCACCAAGAAAAAGATAGTCATTACTCTTTCTACCACCCTTTAAGCTAAAAAAGAAATCAATTCATCATCTGATCTTTCGAGGTAGATTGCTATCAGTTTTATGGATTTTTTCGTATTTCATTTTTTTTAGCATTAGAGGATGAACCCCTCAATTTTGTTGGTCAATTTTCGGGGCCCTAACGTGATAAACTGACTATTATTTTAGCATGTCAAAGAGAAATAACAACAACAATTACAGGGAAGCTGCCTTCATTCTTGTTGATAATAACAAAGCTGTATCATATACATCCTATATACTGGAACATTCCTCGTGACAGCCAAAACACTGCAGCTTGTTTGTATTCCAATAAAAGATTATAAAATTTAATCTAGGCTTAGTTAAACTGCAAAACATCAGTTTTATTGCAGATTAAAACCTTATTATTACTAACAATTTTTAAGAAAATCTTATATTACAATATAAAACGTTAGATATCTGAGGAAAAAAAAAACACCTAGAATACTATATTTGTTTCTGCATCTACTTTTAATTAATGCAAAAATAAATACCCTGCACAAAATGTTTCAAATAAAGACATCTTTTCTTGTGTATAACAAAACAAAGTGACATCCACTGCAGAAATTAAATGAACACCAAATACCTGAAATTTGCTCTGATTTTATCGCATGTATCATATAGCCATTTAGCAAACAATGTCCGATTCTGTGTCGCAAGTCATTTTTTTCACATGAGTGGCTCCATTATCTGAAGACAAAACTTGGGGCGACAAGAAAAGACACTTTTATTGCTATGGGTCAAATGATTAAATGCAGCCTACTAGGAAATCCTATTTTAAAAGAGCTGGATATATTGAATAAATGTTTAGAAATTCTGCCAAAACCTATTGAAGGGGACACATTTCTAATGATATTACCCTGCTTCTCTGAGTATTCTGAAATAATATTTTCTCTAGGTAATTAAAAAAAAATCTATAAATCTGGCAAAATTTTTTTTCAGCAAATTAATTTTTCCTCTCTCTTTTCTTTTAATTTTTCTCTTCCGATAAAACACCATGATAAAGATCAGTCCCATCATCCTTCAGTGACTCACATTTTGCCTCTGTGTCCAGTGAATGACAATGACCACCCGTAATAAAGCTATCATACTTACCATAATCCATTAATAGTCACGATTTATGGACTACTCACTGGAAAATTACACCTTTTTTGTTTTAATCAGTACAAGCAAGATGGTTGTCCAAGCTGATAAAATGTCCATTTAATCATTCATTTTTCTCTTAAACAACTAGATAACATACTCATTGTGTTTAAACAGACCTACGAGATAGGAAGATTAGATTTTAAAGTTAAATCAGTAAGACAGATGCAAATTAATTGTCTCCAGGAGAGTGGGTGAAAACTATTGGATAACTGCCTCTTTTCATAGAAGATGATGCTTAGTATGAAAGATTTCAATGTTTATCTATTTCATGTCATTATTGATCTTATTAATAACCAGATAAAATGTGTGTAACAAATAAAACCATTCTGTTGTTGGGTTTCCATAATACCAATCTATTATTGTAATATGTATTTACACCAAAAAAAGAAAAAAAAAACACGCAAATGAATTTTTATCAAAATGTAGTATCTGTTTCACTAAACAAATGCATATTTACTTGATTTTAGAATTTCTTTGAAGCATGTCATAAAACCTAATCATAAAATACCCTTGCATCCTGTACTAAAACAATTGCTCTAGTAAAATTTTGATAAGAAAAATGCAAAATAAACCAATCATCCCTAATTAGAACCCTCTCTCATTCCAGCCATAGGAAAACCACTCACTAGCCAGCGTCCAGCCACCTTGATTAAAGTGACCAAGGGCTACCTTTACCAGGACATCCACTGGCCAAACAATCACACCTGAGACATTCAAAGGTAAGCAAGTGGTCAGTGTGTAATTATACAGCAGGACCCAAGGGTCATTAAGATCCCTCATCAAAGTGACCAATTCAATTAAGGGGTTGGTCAATGTGCAGTCATGGCCCTGATGTAGTGAGGTTATGGCCTGTGTGTGAAAGTCCAGCATGGATATAAATTATACTCATTTAATTGAAGAATCAAATTAATTTCAACACACTGCCCGATTTCCTATGTCGTGGTACACTACACCTGTTGACATAAGATATACAGTGAACAGATACAGCATTATATCATAAGTCAAGCAATCAGATATGTGTGATGAAATAAGCTTCATCTGTTTAGTAAAGTGTTATACGATCTTCTCCTTTACTTTCCTACACAGACTTTAACTCACTTAACACACTTCCTATCCATTGGACACCTTCATCACTGAATTAGTGTCTGACCCCAGGTGGAAAATTTTAAGTTTTCTGTGTATTGTACAATATGGTGATTTTTTCTTGTATAACAGAATACCTGGAAATGCATTAATCTGCATGCCCCACATGCTTTGCTGTAATGAGTCTGATAATCACAGATATCTTGCACCTTAATAAAAAAACATTTCTCTGATAAATATAGTAATCAATTATAGAATTAGAACAAAATGAAATAAAAATATCATCTAAATAACGTTATGTAAGTAACACTCACTTAATATTTTTGAAAAGTGAAGATGAATTCCAGTAATTTAAGTAACTAAAAATGCTAAACCTTGAGAAAATTAACTACTACAAAATTACCACACTGCATTATGCAACCCAATACACTCCAGAACAAAGTCTCTAAATTATCATACCAGGAAAAATAAAACATTCAGCACTATATCTACAGATTCCACACTGATGGACATGATGCTACACACTGAACACATTATCTAACACTGATACAGACAACAAAAGTACTTCAAACAAACACCTTTTAGGTAACACTGCCAATTACCTGTTGATCAAAGCCTGATCCCTCACCCCAAACACTTAAGATATACAAATTGGTACACCTTTACATACAATGGTTAAGGATGATATAATTACACAGTGTCCTATTCATGATTGGCTAGCTCCAGTGGACAGAGTTTATTACCTGTAAGGTGTCCCAGGTAAACCTCTTTCTGGAAGTTCATTAGGAAGGCAGTGAGAGTCTTGCCGGCCACATATCTTAATGTTCATTTGTATTGATATGACAACTGGCTTTGGCAAGTGGATGGATTTATAGTACCATACCTTGAAGGTGTGTAGGGGAATATTTGTAGTAGATCATCTTCCAGTGGCCAAGAGCTCAGCTAGTTCAACTGGGTTCCACATTCAGAAGGAAATAGGAATACAAGACAATAAGTTCCTTGGTGAGTTTGATTTAACTTTTTGATTTTTTTCAAAATTTCATTGAAACATAGGACTAACAATTTTTTATGGATGATATTATCCTTATTTCAGTGTACATAATCCAATCTAGGAATGCAACAGGACAAATAACAGATCTTAACTTTAAAGTTAAGGTGCACTATTACCACTGCAAAATATTTTTAATGTAGCATCATCTCAAGCAATAATACAATGCTTTAGCAGGAAAGGGAAATTCATAATGTTCTGTGAAATCCTGGGTCCACCAAAAGAGCATAACAAGAGTAATATATTTACAAGTAATTATTACATCAAGCAGGACCTGGTGCATGTTTAAAGCAAATCAAGTCTAAACTGATGACTTTCCTCTTGGAAAAAAACAAACAATTTAAGTAATTGATGAACAACACCTGTGAGAACAAAACATTCAGGTGAACAAGAACACAACTGCAGCAGCAAAACCAAAACACTGCTCCGTCTCATGTGAAAATACAGTGAGAAAAGAGCACACGTCTCAGACATCAGTCCTCACTATCAGCAAGCCCCATCAAGATTTCCCAGGCTTCACTATCACTAGTCCATTCTACGTTGTAATGTGTTTTTGACCTTCCACAACAGAGGAGAGAGAGAGAGAGAGGAGAAAGATGGGGGAAGGGGTAATTTGGGCGCCTAATCCAGGTAGGATAATTAGATAGTGGAACGTGGGAAATTACTGTCATTTGCTGCGACAGAGAGCCTTGTCATGGTGAATGGTGAATGTCTGTATATGACACAGTAGCATGCTGGTGACTTAAATGTATAGATAGCACTCGGTCAGTTTTTCTACCATTCTGTGGTAGTGTAGAGATATGAGGATTACTTTATGAAATTAGGTGACATTAGGGATTTTTTAAAGCTAGAGGTACCTGGATCCTGGATATCTCCTTAAAGGTCAGTGCATATATATGTTTTTCTATTGAACAATTTTGCTGAGAGCACAGTTGTGGCTACATACCTATTTTCTCAGACAGATAAGAGATGGAGAGTGTCAATTCATGATCATGTCTTTTCTTTTATCTCTTAATCTTTACAAAGAAGCATATTTTTGGAGAGGAAAAAAGAATGATATGGCATTACTGCAAAATAGTATGAGAATTTTCAAATTTATGAGTATATTTTTTTCTGTTTGTATTGCTATTGTGATGTTAAGGTTTAATAGAGGGTGAAGGGGGGGGAGGGAGGTTCAAAAGTGTTCACCCTCTTGATACAATGTCCTGTATGTAAACCTGTCACTGCAGGTCTCAATCAACTGATATTTCTACGGACCACCCCACCTTGCCCAGGTGTGCAGTAGTTTCCTACCTGTACCATCTCTACCTGCCAAACATGATAAAGTCATCTTCAATCAAGCCACTAGGATACAATGTCCCCAGTGTAATGCTACACCCCAACTTCAGGTAGACCTTCGCCTTCCAGCGAAGTGAAATGACGGCCAGTGTAAAGTATCATTGAATTCAGGTATCAGAGATCCCTATCGGGACACTGAAGGCTGAAAAACTGGCCCAGTTCACTCGCAAATGATCTGATTGGGGTACGAATTGATCTGTGAACAGCTCAGTCTACTTCATTCAGGTTTGACTCTCACTAATGTAAGCTGACATTGTAGTTATCATAGTCATAATGGTGGGTGTAAAAACTGGTGTATTCTTTATAATGTATCAAACATTTACTTAATAATTATTTATTAATATATTTATCTATGGTTAATATGCTAGTTAGTAGAATACTGGAAGGTTTCTGTTCTACAGTGTAGATTTTAGCACAAATTATGCTTTGGACCCACCAGCATAGCCTTTATGGTATTGAACTGTGTAAGACAGATTCAGAACTGTCTTCATACCTTCCGTGTGAATTTGTCTAAAGACTTGGGTAGAATGGAAAAATGAGAGGAAAATGAATGTATTGAAAATTGAAAATTGAGTGTTTAATAGACTCTTTCTGTTTGTGGAGACATTATGATAATAGGGTAATTCCTTGCCTTACTCATCTTTTAAATCTTTAAATCTCTTTAATTCTATGCCTCGGGTTATAAAAATCATCACTCAATTCGATGAAAAAAGCAGGTGGTAAGTTAGAAAGGCGTTTTGTTCCCTTGTTTTCGCAAGGGCTTATTTTGAAGAAAGAGACAAGGTTTGCTTATTATGATACGTCTATTGTATTATAAATGAATGATAAAAATGTCAGGGTTTTCACTTGCGGGAAAATGACAGGCATTGTTATGTGTTATGATGGGGAAAACTAGTGAAAAGAAGTGGTTCATCGGGTCAAAGCAATCCATTGAGGCCTGTTTATTTTCGAAAGTAACTTTTTATAGTTTAGCTCGAAGTCACGCACATTTGTGCATTCCACTTTTTGTTGTTGTAAAAATAGAGAAAAACGGGCACCTAAAGATGCCGCTTTGCTCATTCAGCAATCCTTTTAAAAAGTTAATTAACTAATTTTCTCTCATCCTTTATAGTTCTACAGAAAATGGCTTACATATTGATTCTACATATTGCAGGTGATTCTACATTTCTTTAAAAAGTAATGAAAACATATGTACACTGAGTTAAAATATTTAAAATTTGCCACCAAGTTGTCATTCTTTTTCAAATCCAAGACTTTTTATATTAAGAAAGGATAATAATAGGCATATCACTTTATTTTCTTTAAGGAAAAGTTTTATTTCAAACTTATCCTCTTATCCTTAGCTTAATTTGTTAAATCAAGAATATTAGGGCATTCTGGGGCATTTTTTTGTCCAAATTCAGTCAAAATGGAGGAGGCAAAAGAAATCTACTAACACAGTGGGAGGGCAACAGTGGGAGGGCAAGGGCATAGTAGAAGTAACTGTCGTCCTTTCCACACCCCCAAATTATAGACCCCAAACACCCACACGCCCCCTGCATATACACAATCAAGATAACACCGCCATGACAGTGCGGTGTACTGTCTGCCATTTCATGCTTATGCCTGTAAAAATGTGACATTATCTTCAAAATCATCACGTTTTATCCGAAAATCAGAAGCCAAGTGGTGTTTAACTTTATCTGATTTAAAATACAGTGCCTGGCTACAGACGTGCATAGATGTCACCATGAAATAGCTGAAAAAATTCTCATCAAAATAAGTAAAACTTTTAACTTGGGTTTATAAAAATGAAAAAAAAAAATCAAATTATTATTTTTTTTTCAAGTTATCAATGTCTTGGTTAAAAAAAGTTTTTTATGGAGACAAAATAATGAAGAGTTAATTCAAAGATGAGTTTAAGTGAGTCAGCCTATGGGTCTAGATATTCACGGGATTATCTATGGGATCATCTCTCATGATAACTCTCTCATTTGACTCACTTGTAATAGAGGCTTGAGCTATGACACAAATGTTTCTTTTGTTTTCTGACTTGTGTCTAATATTCGTCATCAACACTAGAAGGTGCTTATTTGACCAAAAAATCATCAGATAAAGCCTTTTTTTCCACAGAAATCCTAATCAATGAAACATTAAAGGATGTTTCATTTTTTGAAAATAATATGTCAGAATTGCATTTATACAGACAACCAATATTTAAACCCAGCATAATGAAGCATAAAACCCACGAAATAAGATGTTTGTTGATGA